GGGCACCAGGCACACACTCCATGAATACACAGACATGCAGGCGAACACTCATACATATAAAACAAAAGAGACTAAATCTTAAAAAGAATGTCCTAAAGTGAAATTAGAGGCCTGGCCTTCAGTGAGTGGCTAAGCCTTCTGGACTGGATTCTGTTTTACTTTGCTGACAATATTGAACTTACAGTGACACTGAAGAGTGACAGGAAATGAATCCAAAGTCCGGCTTGTGTCCTTCCTATCCTTAACAAACGCAGTGCAGGACACAGGCCTCTCTGTGTGTCTGGGGAACACAACTAGGACTCTCATTAAGTTTCCTGGGGGGCATTGCGTCAGCAGCGCCTGGCACATGGCTCCCCACATGGATTTTATTGGACATGTTCTCGTCTAGGTATCTCAGTCAGCTCCTGGCCACTGGCTTCCCTGGGCCTGAGGGGAGCTGGGAGAGGAGAGGACTGCCTCGTGTGTGTGTGTGTGTGTGTGTGTGTGTGTGTGTGTGTGTGTGTGTGTGTGTGTGTTAATTTCCCCCATCTACCCAGAGGGACCATGGCAGGTCCTTTCTTCCTGGAAGGTGTGTAAACCTCTCTGTCCACACAGTGGTACTCATTACACATCCCAACACAAGGTGGTGGTGTTTGAAAGCGGAAAAGCCGGGACATCGCCCCTCAGCCCCAGAAGCTTCTGCAGAGTTCAGTCATTTCACTGGCTCTCACTCCTTTTTATTATTCTTTCCAGCTTAGTAGCAGCGATGCTATAATCAGGCATACAATTCATACACAAGTAGCTACACAGCCTTATAAATGCTTCCTAGTTTGAAAATCAACAAAATGTTAGCGTATCTTACAGATACCCTACTTCTCTATTATAAGATGGTTTTGGACTGTCTCCTGCTCTTTTCTCTTTGAGGCAGGGTCTCATGTTGCCCAGGATGGCTACAGATTCATGTAGCCAAGGGTGGTCTTGAACTCCTGATCCCCTGTCTCTGCCCCCAGTGTGCTGGGATTGGAAGTTTGTTCTGTCTTGCTGAGTTTTAATTTGGCCACATTGTTTCTCTCGATGTCTCTTCTGTGGTTCCGGCTGCTCTGTTAGGCCTTTAACAACTGCAGCACGGTTCTGTGAGGTTCTGCTAATTGTTCTGTCTTTAACTCTGTGTGTGTGTGTGTGTGTGTGTGTGCGCATACATGCATGTGAAGGCCAGATGCCTGTGTTGGATGTTTTCCTCCACCTCCCTTTTTTTATTTTTTAAGACAGGGATTTTCAGTGAGCCTGGATCTCACTGATTTGGCGATACCATCTGGCTAGTGAGCCCGGAATCTGCTTCCTAGCACCTTTTTTTAATGTGGGTTCTGGGACCAAACTCCGGTCTTCTTACAAGGCAGACACTTCACCCACCCAGTCATCTCCCCAGCCCTCACTTCTTTTAATTGGATGGTTTCTATTAATGCACCTTTAGATTGCTGGTTCTTTCCTTTACCGCCTCCCTGCTCTCCCTAAGTCCGCATAACAGAAAATAACAACAATCACAACAACAATAGCAATAATTTTAAGTGTTGTTCTTCTCTATTCTAAAATTCCCAGTTGAATCTTGCATGGCTCTTTTTTATTTTTTCTTTACTAGTTCATTACTGTGAGCATGTTTTCCGTTATCTCTTGGTCCCAGTTACAATGGGTACATTCCCATCCTTACCTGCAAAGTCCAGTATCTGAGTCCCATCAAGACTGCTGTCTGTCCATCCCTGTTCCCCCAAGAACAGGTCACATCTTCCTGTCTTTTCATACGCTGTGTGACTTTGGATTCTAAACCAGCCAGTGTGAACCCTTTAATGCGGAGACTTTAGATCAGTGGTTCTCAACCTTCCTAGTGCGTAACTGTAATTTTGCTACTGTTATGAATTGTAATGTAAATACCTGTGTTTCCCAACGGTCTTGGACAACCCCTGTGAAAGAGTGGTCCTGCCCCAGGGGGCTGCAACACAGGTTGAGAACCACGGCTTTAGAGCCTGTTTCATTGTTCTAGAGAGCACTGAGGATTTTTCCCTTAAAAGCAAATGGATTTGTTTAGACCCCGCTGTTTCCCGCTGTGCCTGTAATGCGTGACGGCTCAGTTCACTTCTTTACCACTCAGATTCAAACTTCTTTTAGTTCACTGTAGCATGAATCTTAAAGGCACTTATTAATAAAATCAAACCTGAGTCCAGGTATTAGGGTGAATGCTGGAAGATCAGAGAAGCAGAACAAGCCACAGCTGCCTCACCTCGCCAGTTCCTCAGCTGATCCTGTTTCCTCAGACTGGAAGCTTCTGTGTCCTCATCCAAATGAATCTCAGCTGAACTGCTGTTCTAAAGCCTGAAAGCTTAACCAGCCTAGTTCCTGGTTTTCATGCCTTATATACCTTTCTGCTTTCTGCCCTCACTTCTTGTGATTAAAGGCTCACTTCCTGGGATTAAAGGCGTGTGTCACCATGCCTGGCTGTTTCCAATGTGGCCTTGAACTCACAGAGATCCAGACGGATTTCTGCCTCTGGAATGCTAGGATTAAAGGCATGAGTGCCACCATTTTCTAGCCTCTGTATCTAGTGGCTGTTCTGTTCTCTGACCCCAGATAAGTTTATTAGGGTGCACAATATTTTGGGGAACACAATACCACCACAGTTTACCCTTCATGAGCATGGTTCGAAGGTCTGCTGGAGACCTCTACTGAGTGCAGAACACAATTTGGGGTTTCCTCCTGCTCTGACTCTCATCTGCCCACTTGTTTCCTTGTCTTGGTGGTTCAAGGCTTCCTTTCTTGGCCAGAAGAGGGCGTCAGATGTCCTGGAGCTGGAACTACAGGCGGTTGTGAGCTGCCCAGCATGGGTGCACAGCGCCTTTGCTTCCCCAGCTCTGTCTAGTGACTTCCCTCCCTCTTCCCGTTCTAATGTAGCCCCTCCGGGCTCACGCTAATACTTTGTCATATTTTTGTAATGTTACCACACCGTCCTGTTCTGCTCAGTTGTCTGTACCCCAGCAAGGCCTCGCTCCACCGGACGCACCTCGTGCTGTATTTCCTTAACTCTTCCCTGCCTTCCCTTACACTGTCTGATGCACAGAAGACACACATTGTTTTCTTTTACTGCTTTCATCAGTATTTTTTCATGGGTATTAATTTTTAATTCCTGTACCACTGAGGGTATTTGATATTACACAGAGAATCCCTGTGAAATTAAACAAAACATTTGGAGTCCCTTATTCACCCTTCCCTGCATACCGGTCCACGAAAATGTGCCAACTCCATCTCTTCTGCCCCCTGTTGGTATAGCCTCATGCTGGCATTCCACGAAGCCTTCAGGATTAGTCTTTACATTGGAGAGGAACAGGCCACGGGGGCTGCAGTTGTCAGCAAGAAAGACCTCTTTGGCTTTTTCTCTTTCCTTATAAATAGCAGAAAAATGTGCCCCCCCCCCCCCAGGAAGCCAGCACCTGACTCCCATTCTACAGATTGGGTGACAGAGTAGGACCTATTCTGTCACAACTCATTAGTTGCTGGGGCATGGTGAGCACACTCTCTTTCTTTATACCATGTCCATGTATCAGAAGCACGTGTAGAACAAGGCTTATACAACAGCTCCTTGGCGCTGCTCATTCTGAGGGGAGCCACTGAGGGGCAGCCCACATCACTTCAGACTGAAGTCAGCTTCTAAGTCCCTGGGACTTTTTTCTAACCCTTCCCTTAAAAAAAAAAAAAGGTGTATTTATGTGTATGAGTGATTGGTACATTTATTCAGTAAATTTTATCTTGTATGTGTTACATATCAAGTTTAAAGACTCCAGCCAAGAAAATAGATAGAGCCTTTATGGTTTTAAAATTGAGTCTATCATTACCAAAGGGGGGGAAAAGGTTAAAAAAAAGTGTTAAAAATCAATTAAGGAGTTGGAGAGCTGGCTCTGCAGTTAAGGACACTGGCTGCTCTGGCGGGGACTCAGATTCGGTTCCTAGCACCTGTGGCAGACGGTTCACAAATGCCTGGAACTTCAGCTCCAGGGATCTGACACCCCTTGGAGGCCAGAAGAGGGTGCTGGGTCCCCTGGATCTGGAGTGAAGCTGAGCCAACCCCATCTTCACCTTTCTTGCCCCCTTGCCCTTCATTTTCCCCACCAGGCACATTTCCAATTCCTGGGCGTCTAATCATAAGCTTATGCAGTGTTTGGCTCCAGCTTAAAAAAAAAAGAGAGAAAGCCATGAAAAGTATACAGAATGCTAATTTTAATCCCAAGGAGCTCATTCTAGTTTATATGTTTGAGATTCTGAATTTTTCCACACCTATGAAATACTAATTATCCAGTTATAGAGGCTTTTCCCACTAAATTAAATTAATAGACTTACTCATTTTACAGCTTAGTAAGGGAGTGTTAAAAAGTTGAGTTGCACTGTATTTATAATGCCAAAAATGCGATAACTATCTAACTGCCCATTGTACGAGACTAGTTAAGTCAATACTGTGCATCCATACAATGGGATACTGTGATTCAGCTGACGGAGTTTGCTGACACAGAAAGAAAGTTAGTAAATTTGGGGAGATATCTACAACACATTGATATATGTGTGTGCGTGCGTGCGTGCGTGCGTGCGTGCGTGCGTGTGTCTTCACAAACATGCAATAGAGTTTATGTGGAGGTCAGAAGATGGAGTCAGTTCTCCTCTGCTGTGCAGGTCCTGGGGTTCGAACCCCGGTCACTGGCCTTGGCGGCCATCCCCTTTACTCAGTGAGCCACCACACCATCCTGACAACAAATGTGCTGACTGAACAACGGCGGGATGATACGATGGACCAGTGTGTGCTGTTTTTATTCATGCACAACTGAATGTGCATGTGCGCGCGCACACACACACACACACACACACACACACGGAGAGCTTCGCACAATGATGCAATCGGTGTAGCTCTGCAGCGCCAGTTCTGAAAGGCACGTGGATGTCAGTGCTGCAGGCCTGATGTGCTAAGACTGCCTTCCTCTCGTTTCTAGAACAATGAACTACAGAGCAGGTTGGACTATTTGACAGAAACCCAGCCCAAGACTGAAGTGGAGACCAGAGAAATTGGAGTGAGCTGCGACCTTCTACCCAGGTATTTGGGGATTTCCTGTTTTTTTTTCTGACAAAAATCCTTCTTTGACTTAAGAAGACGGTTGTCCTGGGCTGTGATGAGCAGCATCGACTTCTTCCTCCGGAAAGTACAGCTCTGGAGCTAAGTGTGACTTCTGAGAAGGCAGAGGGACTGTGTGGGGTGGAGGAAACAGGAAGGAAAGACTGAGGAAGCTATGACTATCAGCCTCTCTTCATTCATTCATTCATTCAGCAAACTGTAGCAGGCAGATAGGCTGCAGAGAGAAAAGAGATTGATTGGTTCCTGCCCTGGAGTAGTGTATGGAGGGCGGGACAGGATATAAGAAGACATTAATTACCATGTTAGAGGGGTGTGCTGGCTACCTTCAGAGGGAGTGTCCAAATGAGGAACAAAATGCATCCATCCTTTAGTACCATAGCTGATCTATTCAGACGTCTGGTTTAAATCTGGTTCATCATAATGATCTGAGACTGTGCGCTGGCTAGTTTTACTTCAGTTTGACACAATCTAGAGTCATCTGAGAGGAGGGAGCCTCAGTTGAGAAAATGCCTCCAGATGATCTGGCCTAGGCAAGCCTGTAAGTCATTTTCTTAATTAGTGATTGATGGGGGAAGGCCCAGCCCATTGTGGGTGGGGCCACCTCTGGGCTGGTGGCCCTGGGTTCTACAAGAAAGCAGGCTGAGCTAGCCAGTAAGCAGCACTCCTCTGTGGCCTCTGCACCAGCTCCTACCTCCACATTCTGCCCTGTTCAAGTTCCTGTCCTGACTTCTTTCGATGATGAACAGTGATGTGGAAGTGTAACCCAAATAAACCCTCTCCTCCCCAAGTGGCTTTGGTCAATGTGATTCACCACAGCAATGATAACACTAACTAAGACAGACTATAACTCTACCTTTGACCGTCCGGCTTTGTTACTAGGCTAGAGGGCTGACCTGTTCCTTGTTCAGCTGCCCCCCCGCAGCGAGGTCTGTGTCCTGCTGAGTCACAGTTGAGCCTGTGATTTAGTGTCCTGCCTCTGACTGACACAAATTTGCCATGGCTGGGTACTCAGTTGTGCTCAGCCGGGAGCATGTGACTGTGTGTATAACATGGTTATTAATGCCCTGTGGCTTGTGATGTAGGTCCTCACAGTCGTGAAGTGGCAAGTCCTGGTATCATGAGAGCAAGAAAGAACTTGTGTATAGGCATGTACTGTGCTATGCTGTGCTGTGCTAGAACACAGTGATCCAGAAAATATGTCAGATCCTGGGACCGTTGATAGTAACATCTGTGGGAAAGAGTGACCAGCCGATTGCCCATCTGGGATGTGGAATGCCCAGGTCTGGTCCTGTTGGCCACCTGTAGCCTGGCATCTAGTTCTTTCTCTCTTTGCTGAGGCCTTGGCCTCTGAGTCTGTAACACCAGTGAGTGGCTTTACCAAGTCTCCAGCATCACTAATGTGGCACAGTGAGACCTCATTTCCCTACTTTTGAGTCTGTGACTGATGGGTTCTTGTTGGCTAAATCCAGCCATTTGCCATTGTCGAAGAACTTACTAGCAATATTGTGGAACTTTCTTTGCCAATTTCCTGATTTCCAGGTAAATGAGGCAGTTTTCCATTCTAACATAATTAACAGAAAATGCTTTTTTTAAAAAAAGATAAGAGTACATAAAGTAGACCCGGCATCTCATCAACATATGACACAATTTACTTGATGAAAATATAACCAAAAGAATGAATGATTGTGTTTGGGGACCCTTTTTGAAATATGAGTAATTTGGCCATTTCCCTCTTTCTCAGGCTTTTCAGAGACCAAGTGTCTCAGATCACTCTAGTTCCCCACATCATAAATCTTGTTTGGCCAAGACGGGCACAAAACCATGTCTGAAACCAATAAATTGTTTGTTTTCTGATTCCCACATTTTGGCTTAAAACAAGCTTTTCAATTTGTACACCCAAGGATGGCCGGAGGCAAACTTTTATGGCTGCGTTATGAAACCACAAAACAGTTTTCATAATGGAAGTGCTGACAGACCCTTAACTTATGGCCACAGCGAACCTGGAAGGCATGTCAGAATCGAAAGGCAGCTTTTCCATAAATGTAACATTTGGGTTTCCCTCAGGATCCATTGCTGAGGTTTAACTGCTTAGGTCAGTCAGCAGAGGAAATGAAAACTGCATAAACCACATTTCCGAAAGGGCAGAATAATATTTCACCCGCTTCCTCTCAAATATTTACGAAGTGCCTACTATGTGGAAAGCACCCCCAGGTCATGGAGGTGAGGAGACAAGAGCTTCTGAGCTCTCCCACTTGAGGCAGGGTTCCCACTTGGCTTCTTAGAAAGGCTTTGCCCTGTTGCTGGGGCTTCTGAGGAGACCTTGCGGTGGTGGGGGAGGAGGATTGTTGAGGTGCCAGCTAGGGACCACCTTCCCTCTCCACATTCTTCTCAGTACCCACTGACCCAACCCTGTGTGTTCTGAATGGTGGATTCTGTGGGCGAAGACAGAGCAGAACCCCACAGTCCAGGTGAATCCTACATTTCAAAGGAAACAAATCGGAAGTCCAGAGAAAAAAAAGCAACTCACCGGAAGCCACACAGCCAGGAAGAGCAGGCTTCTGAGGCTGGGTATAGCCACTTATAACCGGGAATGACTCAGGAAGTTGAGGGTTTCTGGTGAGATGGCTCACTGGGTAAAGGTGCTTGCCACCAAACCCAAGGACCTGAGTTTGACCTCTGAGACCCACGTGGTGGAAGGAGCCTCTGGCCTCTGACCCCTTGGCACCTCCATGCCCATACACATGTAGACACACACGGAGAAGGAAAGGGCAGGAAGTAGAAGGTTGCCAACCATGCTAGGTGTGTTCTGACAAAAGTCCTTTTCTTACTTGTACTTCAAACTTAGGTCTGAAAAGTAAAATGTTCTGGGATATTTTCCAGAATTTTTCTATACTTCAAATTTTTACTTATTTATATATTAACTTCTTTGAGACAGGTGATGATGTAGCCCATGCTGGTCTAGAGCTCACTATGTAGCTGAGGAAGGACCTTCAACTCCTCATCCTCCTGTCTCTCCCTCCCAAGGGCTGGGACTGTAGTTGTGTGCTATCACACCTGGCTCAGAGTGTTGGTTTTTTTTTTTTTTCTTTATTTTTATCCAGCCTCCTTGTCTTAGTTAGAGTTTCTATTGCTCTGAAGAGACACCATGACCACAGGCACTCATAGAAAGGAAAACATTTAATTGGGTGGCCTACAGTTCAGAGGTTTAGTCCATTATCATCATGGTGGGACATGGCAGCATGGAGGCAGACACGGTGCTGGAGAAGGAGCTGAGAGTTCTTCTACATCTTTGATGGGCAGGCAACAAACAGGAAGTGAACTGAGACACTGGGCGTATCTGGAACATAGGAGACCTCAAAGCCCACCTCCACAGTGACACGCTTCTTCCAACAAGGCCATACCCATTCCAATAAAGCTATACCTCCTAATAGGGGCACTCACTCCCTCTGAGCTTATGGGGGCCAGTTACATTCAGACCACCACATTCCTCCTCCACGATGTATTTTCTATGAGAAGTAGTGAATTTAGCCTTACACAGAAGTGTTTATACACTCTCCCGCCACACACAGCTCAGCAGTGTAGCTAGGTTGAACAGTTAGGGCACCTGGCTGCCCTGCCTGCCCTGCCCGCCCTGCCAGCCAACCTCAGCCTTGGTTGATGAATCTTTCTGAAACTTGGACATATTCATCCTCAAAATGGAAAAGAGGATGATAGTTTTGAATTTCAGTGTGTTGCTGTGAGAATTGGGTGAAAATATGTATAAAGCAGATAGCTTAATTTAAAAAAAAAAAAAAAAAAAAGCCAGTAAGGGGCTGGAGAGATGGCTCAGCAGTTAGGAACACTTACCGCTCTTGCAGAGGACTGGAGTTTGGTTCCTCACACCCATATTGGGTGATTCATAACCACGTCTAACTCCGGCAACAAGGGCTCCAGTGCCCTCATCTGGCCGCTGCAAGTACTGTACCCATGTGTACAAACAGACACAGACACGCACAGACACACACACACACACACACACACACACACACACACACACACACACACACAATGGTTTAAATAGCCAAACTAAACCAAACTTATGGGTTTTTAGATGTAAAACACCGTGTCCTGTATAAATGAATTTGGGTTTGCTAAGGCAATTTTGTTAACTTAATTTTGCAGGTAGTTATCATTGGTTGGTAGCCTAGTCAAGAATACAGTGCTTCAGTGCGCATGGGACCCCTCAGTTAAACCCTCCATGACTTCAGATCCCCCAGACGTTGTTTCAAAGAGTGAAGGAGTGATAAGAGCATGTGAGCTGAGACACAGGACTGATCCTTGTGTGTTCCAGGCACTGCGGGGCTCCCTGTGGGGAGCACGTGCCTCCAGCTCACTGACTCACTCTCTTTTCACACCTGCAGGTGTCGGGTGCTTGCTGCTGTTCCTAGAGTATAACTCACAACTAGGACTCCTGTGGAATTGTGTCATGCTAAAAAACAATTGCAACAACCTCTTCTTTAGTCATAATGGCACTAACCCCCTCTTCTAGGGCACCCCTTCCCGCTGCCCTCTTTCTTGCCAGCATTGTGAATGCCTATGAAGAGGGATCCGATGTTCCTCTAGGGTATTAGTCACCTGCTTGCTACTGTAGTAAAATACCTGAGGCAAATTAGAAAGAGAAATGTGTATTGTGTTGACTCAGTTTACTCCAAAATCTTTTGGTGAGGGCACTGCAAAAGCAAGGTGGAGCAAAAATTGTTTACACCATGATCCAGGAAACAAATAAAATAACCGAGACTAGGGTTCCACAACCCCCTTGAAGGATAACACCTCCCCCGATTACCAGAGACCTTCCTCTGAGGCCACACCATCTACGGGTCCTACCACCTTCTAGCGGTGCCCCAGCAGGGCCCGAGGCTTTGATTCCTGGACCTCTTTGGAAAGCAAGCATCCAGATGGTAGAATCTGGTATTTAGCTGATGCTCAGTAAACGTTTTTTGGGGGGAATCAGCAAGGTCTACACAGAGTGGGGATATAGGGGATATAGGCAGCCGACGGGTGTTGCGATGTGGTTTGTTCACTTCGTAGAGGGCTTGGAAGAAGCACTGGCTGCGGCTTTGCTGCTCCAAGTTGCCATCAGGCATGCGAGCAGAGGGTTTTGTTCCTCTTCCTAGTCCCGGTCTCCCCGAGACGTGCTCAGAGCGGTGCCAGGGAATAGGTATTCAACCCATCCTTGTGCGTACCACCTCCCTAGAGCCTCCAACAGCTCAGATGGTGTTTGAACAGCTTCAACGTTGTTCTTGGTGGAACAATGCTTGCCTCTTACTCTTACCGGATGTTCCTTCCCTAGCTCTCTCCCCACCCTCCTGGCCTGTCCTCCATCTTCTTTCATGGTGCATTGCCTCGTTCTCCTTAGAGTCCCCTGTGATTCCGTCTTGGTTTCAGTCATTTCTGCAAAGACGGCCCCAGCCCATGGTGTTGCCTCCCCTCCCTGGGGCTGAGCCTTTCTGGAACACGAGCCCCTCATTCCTGACAGTCTCGGGCCTCTGGAGTCCTCCAGCCGGGTGCAGTCTGTTTGGTCCTCTACGGACCATTTCCAGGCTGAGTGTGCCAGCCTTTTCTCCAAAGTCAGTTCTTAGAAATGGTTAAGATGCTTGCCACTAAGTGTTAGACCTGGATCTGTGTCTCGGATCTGCCGCTTGCCTTTGGTGTGGCTTTGAGAAACTTCTGAATTCTTCGAGTGTCTGTTTCCTCACCTTGAAAAGGAAAATTTGACTGGGAAGACTGAGGCACGAGGGCTGAGGCGGGAGGGCTGAGGCGGGAGGGCTGTAGGTCTTTTTCAAGGCAAAAACAAAAGAAAGGAAAGGGGAGGTTTGGTGGTCGATCCTGTTTCCAGAATTTTCTCTGCTGGGGTTGGGGTACTAGGTCACATCTAACCTCCCTAGTCGTAAGATCCCAATGCCAATCCAAAGTTCTGTTCCACCAAAGTTCCCCCTGGGGAACCAGTGAGTTTATTGGGCTTACTTCCAGAGATGGGGGAGGGGTTACTGAAAGGGGCATGGGTGACCCCAAGCAGCAATACTACAAAGTCATCACCCAGCATGTGTGATGGCTTCCCCATAGCCACATAGATGGAGTCACCTTCTCCTAGTTCTTCCAAGCCTGTATACTCCAGCCCCACCCCAAGACCCTGAGGACACTATCCATTAGGGAGAAGTTGAATACAGCTGGTTAGGAAAAATGGTTGGATACTCGAAGGGCCTGTGATCCTCCTGCCGCCACCACCCCCCACCTCCTGTGAGGAAGGCCAATAGTCAACCAGCCCAGTTGTGATAATCATGTGCCAACTCATGAAGATGGCAGCTGCTGGGCTGGGAAAATATTCCTGTACAGCACCCCGAAAGCTTGCGTCCAAGTGGACAGCTAACAAACACAGGGTACCCAGCCCAAGCACTTGCAGGTTCATAATCTGTGGATATTTCTGCCATTTTCCCGTGATCTACAGTAGAGCCATAGCTTAGCAGTGATTGCTCGTGGGCTTGCTAGCTTGCCTGTGCTATCACTTCCCTCCCTGAGGTTCTCAGAAATTCCCTTCCTCCCTCTCTCCAGCTCACCTGACAGCCATCTTCCTTCTGTCTCTAGTCTCCTGTCCTGCTGCTTCTCCTCCAGCTCCTCTTTGGGTGGCATTCATTTCTAGTGAGCAAGGATCTATCTCATCATGGAATGAAAACATGAGGAGGGACTCACTGTGAGTTCAAGAGTTTTTGCTTTTTAAGAATTCGTTCTGTTTGAAAAGGATGATGCATATTGATTAGTCATTGAGAATTATTTAAGGTCATCTGGCCTCTGAGTACAGAGAAAAATAAAAAGGAGCAGTGAGACTTTTTTCTTCTGCTCCTTAATAAATTGAAACGTGATAGACTCAGTTGTGTTTTTTAATTAGTTTTACTTTTAATTTTTTTAGGTATATTTATTTGATTTTATGTGTATGAGTGTTTTTGTTTTTGCCTGCATGTATGTGTACCACATGCGTACTTGATACTGGGGGAGGCCAGAAGAGGGCATCAGATCCCCTGTAACTGGAGTAACTAGTTGTAAGTCAACACGTAGGTGCTGGGAACTGAGCCTGGGCCTTCTGGGAGAGCAGCAAGTGCTCTAACTGCTGAGTCATCTCTCTAACCACCTCTTAGTAGGTGCAGTTTGGTGGCAGATATTCCCCATGGCCATTAGTGCCCTTCACATAATAAGTGCTTTCAAGGCTTGTATTTTCACATTTCTGTTGTAGAGATCAACAACAGAAATTTGTTTTGCCAAAGCTTTATCTTTTGGTTCTGCTAGTGCTTCCTGCCTCCAGGGAAACTGTTCCTCTGTGGATTCATAAAAGGTCAGCAGGATCCCAACTGTGTTCCAGAAAACAAGCAAACTTAAGTTCTGTGATTAAAATGACTTTCGCTCTTGAAGTCCTATTGTTTCCTAGTGATCAGCTTAATAAAATGCCCCCACCCTTTACATTTTTGAAAGGTTGGGATATGAGTGCCTGTTTTTGAAACCCAGAATGTTCACCTTTATAAATATTTCTGCGTTTTATGAGCTTTTAGGATATTGTCACAGGAGACCATTTGTGTTGCATGGAATTTTCATAGGAGTTGGCACACGAGGCCATCTGGTTTCTGCCCCTGCTATTCATCTAATCTGCCTAGTGAGGTCACCTGGGAATTCTTGAGGTGCCACATCCCAGAGATTCCTGTCTCTGTGATTGCCCCCTCCTCAAACTCACTCTGGCTTCCATCCCCATGTCTATGCGGAATGAAAGGTCCAGGCTCAGCCTTTGTGAACTACTGAGGTCACAAAGATGAGTGAGACGTGGTTTTCACTCTCAGAGAAATCAGACCTAGCCATGGGCACAGATGCAAATCAGTGTGATAGGAGACCCTGCCGCCGTGTGTCAGAGCAACAGTCCTTTTTAGTGTGCCCTGGGGAATGGAATTCATGGAGAGGACACACATTGGATCTCTGTTGTGCGACACTGTATCTGGGGAGATGGGAACGAATGTAAATGAATGTCTACTTACCCAGATAGGGAGCCCATGACACACCAGAGTAAGGGTACCATCAAAGTCCAACTTACTGAGCCGACGAGTTTTATTGGGGTTTGTTACAGAAGCAGAAATGATTTGAGGACAGCTCTGTCACCCAAAGCCCACCCCAGCGTGGGTGACAGCCCCTGAAAGCTGGGAACCTGGAGCACACTGCCCAGCCTGCAGGTAGCTCAACAGGTTGGAGAGTGTCCTTTCCAGGTAGCTCAGTTGGTCAGAGCCTTTTTCGGGTCCCCTCCTCCAACTCCTCCTCCTCCTCCTCTTTTTTGTTTTTGTTTTATTTATTTTATTTTATTTTATTTTTGAAACAGAATCTCATTGTATAGCTCTGGCTGACCTGGAACTTGCTATGCAGACTAGGCTGGCTTTGAACTCGTAGAGATCTGCTGAGATTAAAGACAGGTACCATTCACCACTCCTGGCTTTGATCTCTAGTTCTCACAGGAGGCTCAACTGGTCTCCAAGTGTCTCTTGGCAGTCTTTACTCTTTGCTTATATATGCTTGGGGAAGGATTGGATCTGGTCAGTTTCAGGGACTTCCTGAAGCCTTGGAGTTGTTCACTTCCTGAGATTAAGGAGCTACCCTGCAGGATGGAATGTTTCACCTCTCCTTAGAACGTCCTGTTATTTCATCTCCTTCCTCACATCCTATGTCTTAATAAGACTCCCTCCAAGATGGAAGGTTTTAATTTTGAAGTAAATTGCTGCACAACTGCCTCCTAGGGGAGACATGCAATGTGTAAGATCTGACACCCCTGCCCCTCACACTTCTGGATACAGCCGTACCACTTTGTGAGTAGTTGGACGTGGGAAGTTAGTGGTAAGGAAGTTAACTGTCATGCTTCCTGTGTGTTTGGGATAGTGCTTTTGGGGTACAGAATGTAACTGTGGTACCTTCAAGCCTCAGTGGCTCACCTCCGTATCTCCACATCACAGTTCAAGGCAGGGTGAAATGAGCCTCACTCTACACAGCCATTCAGGGTTCTAGGATTCTTCCACCAGTGACATCCTTGGACCCCCCCCAGGGGACTCCTGAACAGTGGGGGCTCCCTCCCAGGCTCTGGATTAGGCACAAACCACACCCAAACACCTGTTTTCACAGAGAAATCCTTTATTAGGTGGGAAGGAAAGGGGCTGATTTCTCAGGGAAAAAACAGCAGCAAATGACCTTGCAGGTGTCGTTTTTAAGAGGAGGAAAAGGGAGGTCTGTGTTGGAATGGGCTAGGATGCGGTGGTAGAGGAGATAGGGGATGAGGGAGAGGGGAAGGGGACAAGGGAAAGGGGGGAAGAGGTATTTGTCCCTGAGGGACAAAGGACTGTCCCTAGAGGGGAGACAGACATGGCACATAGGGAAAATGTCAGTTTATAAAGGTAAAATAAGAAAGTCCATGTTAGGATGCGGTGTTTAATTTTAATTGTGTGTGCTAATTAGGTGAACCAAAGTGGGCTTTTGATTGCTGGACTTTGGTGTCAGCCTCAGGAGGAGGAGGAGGAGGAAGTGGCCAAATAAGGGAATAGACCCTGGTGGCTAGCTTTAGGAATGTAATCTGAGGGTTTTTAGCAAGGCGGAGGGGATGGGGGAGAAGGGCAAGGCCTGCCAGTGGGCTAGTGTCCCTTCGCTCCCCACCCACACCTCTACATAAAAGAGAAGAGAAAGTGAATATGTAAGATAATGCGTGTGGATGTATCATTCAAACCTCACTTCTACCCATTCAGTAACACGGTCTACCTAGTTGCAAAGGAGGCTGGGAAATGTAGTTACATATTTGGTCACAATGAACTAGAAGCTAAAGGGCAGCAAATTTTCTGCTCATGCTGGAGGCCAAGAAGTGCAAGACCAATGCCCCAACAGATTCAGGATCTGGTTAGACTGTGCTTTCTGGTGCACAGACAATGCCTTTCCTGGGTCCTCCCTTGAAGCTCTCTGAGACCTTTGGTAAGGGCACTAATCCTACGCCTGAGGGCTCCACCCTCATGGCCTTTCCACCTGCTGACACCATCCTTTTGAGGGTTAGGATTTCGGCTCTGAATTTGCAGGGATGCAATATTCAGCCCATGGCAAATCCATTTTATAGCGTTTCTGTGAAATACTCAACTGCATTATTAATCACCGCATTTTTATGTTTCAGTGCCGAGTTCTTACTACATGAAGCCTGCAGAGAGTTTTATCTCATTTTCCTCTCCTTCCTTTTCTCATTTCTCAGCCCCACAGGCAGGACCCGTGAAATCACGCTGCCTTCCAGGAGTTACACCCCGTACACCAGAGTCCTGGAGTTAACCTCAAAGAAAACGCTGACCTAGGCACTCAGACACGTGCTTCTTGCAAATGCTGGAAGGCTCTGGAACCCCGTGACTTAAAAGTCTGGAGAGCATGAGGATTGCTCACGGTGTAAGCCAGAATGGGAATCTCAGGCAAGTGGAGGCAGAAAGAGCAAGCAAGGTCATGGACATGAGGTCGTCTTTCAGACACACCAACCCTGCTATACAGAATCATCGTTTGTTTTCCATGTGGATGCTGAAGACCAGGTTTCACAGTCTGTTTTGTTTTACTGGATTTTAGTTTGGAGGGGAAGGGGCATTAATTAGAAACTTCATGTTTGTTACAGCATAAAGGTTTTGTTTACCCATAAAGTATTAGCAGCAGTATTCCTCCCATGGAGAAGCCTGTGCACATGTAGCATGGGCACCTGGAAAAACTTGAACCTGGAGGGAAGGAGTCCCAGCATGCACTGCTCTCTACTCTGGTTGGGAAGATGGGTGCCTGGTTGGGGGAGCCTCGTGTAAAGACTTGTGAGTGCCAGAGTAGCTGCATTCTGATTCACCGATTCCTTGTTTTAACGTGTGCCTTATGCCTTGATTGGACCACCTGAGCTCACTGTATTTATTCAAGCTGTGATTTTTGTCTTTCTCACTTTAACTTAAAAAGACTTTTGTATGTTGTGGCATTTAGTCATTTCATGTTTAAGGAACAATTGATATTTTTGTTAAATGGATGAGGAGTCTATTCACGCACGCTTTCTTTAATATTAAAGCCCACATCACATATATTTAATAAATGACTTCTATTTTGTTCTAATGTTGCCTCTGTTCTGTTTCATCTATGACTTATGTAGAAGGGATGGACACTCAGTAGACCAGGCTCTGGAATGGTGTCCAGGTCAGACACTAAAGGTCTTTCATCAGTTGACCCGAAATACATTTTGTTAGTACCCCTTCTGGAAAGAGTAAGAAATATTCATGATCACAAAAGAATTAGATCCTCCTTTTAAAAATAACCCTCCAGGCTTAGAGAGATGGCTCAGCTGTTAAGAGCAACTGCTGTTCTTGCAGAGGACCTGGGTTCTGTTCCTAGTATCCAGTTCCCTGAAACTGGAGTTGCACGCAGTTGTGCACACACATATACATATAAAAATGGAAAATAAAGAAATAAAAATTTGAAATCCTCCTCCCTTCACAGCCATCTATCATCCAGTTTGGAAAAAGCAAATGAACAAAATAGTTCCATTGAATAAATCACCCCAGGTCAGGATAAAGTGAAAAGGAAAGTGTGTGTGTGTGTGTGTGTGTGTGTGTGTGTGTGTGTGTGTGTATGTATGTGCATGTTTATATGTTTGCATGTGTGTGTGTGCCAAATGTGTATGTACACACATGTTCATGTATGTCTCTGGGTGTGTACTCATATGCATGTGTGTGCATGCATGTGTATGTATGTAAACATATGTGCATACGTGTGTGCATGTTACACACACATACAAACCAGAGGACAATGTCAAGTATCCTTTTTTGGGTACCATCTGCCTTATTGTTTTGTGAGACAGAAACTCTCATTGGCCTGGACCGTGCCTAGTAGGCCAGACTTGCTCTCGGAGAGCCTCAGGTATCCTGCCCCCAAACCCCAGGGCTGGAATTACAGGTGCACACCACTATGCCTAGTTGTTTTGTTTTGTTTGTTTTTACATGGATTCCAGGAGATCAACCTCAGATCCTCATGGTTGCACAGAAAATACTTTTACCACCTAAGATATTACCCAAAATGTGCCTTTTTATATTCAATTTTGTGTTTAATTCTGGCTAAAGGACTTTAGGTGAGTCGTAAAATCTCTGTAAAGGACATCTTTACCATTGGATAGTTTCTGTAAAGGACATCTCTACAGTTAGACAGTCTCTGTAAAGGGCATCTCTACCATTGGACAGTCTCTGTAAAGGACATCTCTACAGTTGGACAGTCTCTGTAAAGGACATCTCTACAGTTAGACAGTCTCTGTAAAGGACATCTCTACAGTTGGGCAGTCTCTGTAAAGGACATCTCTACAGTTGGACAGTCTCTGTAAAGGACATCTCTACCATTGGACAGTCTCTGTAAAGGACATCTCTAATGTTGGACAGTCTCTGTAAAGGACATCTCTAC